AATAGTACCAAGACTGAGATCTGGGGACGGTGGAGGCCACTGGAAATCAGTGAACTCATTCTCACATTAAAGAAACCAGTTAGAGATGATCTGCGCTTTGTGACCTGGAGCACTGTCCTACTGGAAGTAGAATAAGAAGATGAGTCCACTCTGATCCTGGTCTAGAAAGAAAAGTGAACAGAGGTCGGGGCAGATTCCCAAGGCTTTAATTTATGCTAGACCACAGCAGATTTCTTGAAATACCTGAGAACTCCTCAGGTACTTAACTGACAGGAATGATATGGGATTAGACGTGTGCCAATAGCATCGAGAAAAACACTTTGGAGATCAACAAATATTAAGACGTTGAGAGAAAAAAAAGTTTAAAAAGAAAAACTTACGATCTGAATCAGCTTCTTAAAATCATCAAGAAAAACACTTTGACGATCAAACAAAAATTAAGAAATTGGCAAAACAAAAATATTAACTAAAGGAAAAAAATAGCTTCAAAAGTTAAATGTACTATCTGAATCAACTTCTTAAAATTAGTAATAAAGTATGTTTCCTTTTTCTGTTTGCCTCTAAATTATTTTTCTTGATCCTATTGGAACAAATCTAATCCCATACAATGACATCTGTTGTGTTCTTCAGCTGCGGAAGTCCATCTGCTTTAGAGGTGTGGTTCACTGAAAACTCATGATTATAATCGGTCACTCCGAGTTGTTCATGGAAACTGAACATGAAAATAGTCTCCTACACATATCTGCTGCATTAGCCTCTGATAAAAGTTCTGACAGATCTACGTCACATTGTCACTTAACATTCATGGACTCACCCATCTTGGCTCACGACGGGGAACAGAAGCAGAGAACAGCAGAGAACAACTGAGCTAGTAGAAGCTAACTGTTAGCATTAGCAACTCCACCACACAACAGAACTCCTCCAGGCTTGTGTTATTTGTGGAGATAAAACACCAACGTTGCAAGTAAGTGGTAGAATTATGTTGATGTTATCCAATCAGAGGCGAGATGCCCAAATGTCAGGAAATACGACTCCAAACCCTGCCGTCTGAAGCTCAGCTTTGATGTGGCTCACTTCTAGTTCCTGAAAATGGTGCACTGGTGTTTTTCTTCCCTGAGTACGACTTGCAAGGCCTACACAGTTCATGCTACTAGGGATCATTGTACTTTTGTTGATTAAACAACTGTTCAATGCCTTTAAGGTTTGACATGGTTTTGACATGCTGTGGTTCAGAGACGCTGTTCTACAGACCTTGGGTGGGACCCATTGTTACTCGAGCTCCTGTAGTGTTTCTACCATCTGATCATTCTTCTCTGACACCTCTGATAAACGGGATAATTCAAACCAACTGCTCCTCACAGGACATGTTCTGCTTTCCAAAGCCATCACTACAAACCCTTGAAGTTGATGTTGGTTTCAATCCTTGCAAGTCCTGAAATACCCAGATCAGCCCATCCGGCTCCAACAACGTCACAATGAAAGTCACTTAAATCTCCTTTCTTTCTCATTTTGATGCTTAACTTGAACTTCAGCAAGCTGTCTTCATCACATTTAGATGCCTGCATGCATTCAGTTGCTGTCATGTAATTTGGTGATTAAAGTTTTCTGTTAACACTCCTATTATAATTATAATACAAATTAGATTGAGTTTGTGCCAAAACTGCACCAAATGGATACATTTTCACATTCCCAGTTTCCACCTTGAGAAACTTCCTCCCAAACAAGTGAATATCTTTATATACCCTTTAATCATCCGTAAAAACCTTGTGTTGGAGATGAAGCATGCCCTATTGGTTCAGGTCAGATTTAAATTCTCAAATTTTGTACACTAGAGGACCGCTCTTCATTCTGGTCCCTTTTTTGGTTAACAAATTACTTCACAGACTCACAAAGCTCAATCATTCTTTATGCATGCACAGTGTGCTTGTTTTGCCTTGATAAAGTCCTCAACCGCTGGGCTAATTCAAACATCAAAAACACACTTTAATGAAGCAAGGACTGAATGTTTACCAGGTTAGATCAAAGGGTGACACTTATTTGCTTGTAGAACATGGTTTTGGTTCTACTTTCACTAATTGAATAAATACATTGTGTATCTGCTATAATAAATGTTCCAGAGTTTTAAAGCTGTGCAATATTAAATGTATTATTTCATTGTAGGAAATTGGAATAAATTCATTTTACAAGAAATATACCTAGGAGGTGACTGATTTGGGTTTAGAATTGGAGACAAATTCATTTACTTTGCTTAAATCAGTCTGTCTATGAATTGCATAAGTTGTGAAATGTTCCTCTATTGTCATCCCAAGTCTATAAACTTTGGCATTACCACTATTCCTGTAATGGTCTTTGCATTGGATGCATAAGCAGCACATGACGTAATAGACACCTTTCCCCACTATCACCAGCAAATTGCTCCGTCCCGCAGCGCTCCTCTGTGAGAGCGGGTGGTTGCACACATTCCGGTGCTGTTTCTCACCAGTATGAGCTGATGGAGGGCTCTAGTTTTGTTGCGCCGTTCGTGTCAGCGGACACGGTAGGGTTGGGGAGGGGGGCGGGGCATGACACTTAGCCTGGCGGGTGGGCAAGTAAAGCCTGGCGGCCTGATGCAACTTTATATTTTAAAATCATTTTCTTGAGCCAGTATGTGCTAAAATGACCCTTTTCAGGTTTTATGAAAGGTCACGACCTCACCGCCCTCTGTAGCCAGAATATCACACTTGCAACTTTGGAGTGGTTGGGCTGCTGTTTAGTTGACATACCTGGTGCTGCAATCTACCTCCAGCATGTTTCCTGCATGTTCTAGATCATGAACAGATCTGATACGTTTGATTTAATGATTAATCCCTTCTGTAGACACTAATGACGGCTGTAGAGACATTCCGTACTTCAATACATAATTTTACATAATTTTCTGGTAAAAATTTAATTTAAAAAAAACTGAGACTGTGGGGAGCCGTTTGAGAGCCAAAAGAGATGGTTCATTTTAGTGAGCCGAGCCGTAAGAATCGGTTCTCCAAAAAGAGCCAGATTTCCCATCACTACTACCTCGGCCACAGAGATAATGAAGTACTTTTTTTTCTGCAATTGAAAATCGTCACATGTTAATTAGCTTTGCAGATGTTATGTGACCCTAATACTTCCAGTGGAAAGCTGGGGAAACATCAACCATAGATTTGACTGCCTGCAGACTGGAGGGATATAACAACAATTAGTGGAATACCAGGTGTTTTTTTAAGTAGCACAGAACTGTTTCCTGCCCCTCTGCCCCACTGGTTAAAATTGGATTTACAACTGTTGCAAAGAGCCTTGCAGCAGCCTGCTGTAACTAGCGCTACCAACAAGCTAATGTTGACTTGAGCCAACCAATACTAAAATAAACCACAAATTAAAAAGCTCCACACTGTTGAAAAAAAATTATTAATGCTTACAATTCCAGTAGAAACAAAGCCAGTTCACCATATGTCTGTGATTCTGTAGCCTCCTTTAGTTCCCTCAAACTAGTGTAAGCCGTGCCGATGCTCTTCGTTTCACCTCCAAAGTCATTTCTCTCTCACTTTTACTTCCTGGCTCCGCCATGATGCTAACAAAGACGCGAACCCTCTTTTTCTTCTTCTAGTGTGTTTTTAGTCATGGTCGGTGAACTATAAAGCTAACTGCTAGCCTTTTTTTTTTAGCTACCAGCACAGAGAACAGCTAACAGCCTACAGGTAAAGAGCGCCCCCTAGGGCACCTACCTGCTCCACAAAACTAAATGCTGCTCCTGATCAACAGAGGGCGGTCCTGTGTGAAGTTGGTAAATTTTCTAACGACAGTGGCTGAAACCCACTTTTTAAGAAATTGGTTAAAGTGTAAAAAATAAGCAAGTCCTGAATTTTGGTTAATTAAATTGTGTCATTGACTTTTTATTCAAAATGTTTCTGCTATATTTGAATCAAATAAAAGAACAACAATTCAACCATCTGTTGGTGGTTGAATGCAATGGCTGAAAATGAAAAATGTGCAGGATGTAGTTACCAGTGAACAAACTTTAAACAAAGTTATTGACCTGTGTACTCTCAGGGTAGTTGTGCTTTAAATCCTCCTTACATAAATGTCCACGTTTGGACATTTATATTGCTTATATTTAATTTCAACATGCTAAATTTCTGTTTAATGCTTTTTTGCTCAACAACTGACATCAGATAATATTTGGCAAAAGCAGATTTCCAGTAAAAGCATCTCCATGTCAGGCTGCAAAACAGATTTAAAATGTTATTTTTGATTATTTGATTGGCTGCAGCAGGTGCAAGCCACCAACACAGACTGCAGTGATGTATTTCTAATCAAATCCAGTTTCCAGCTCTGGTGAGGGTGCCAACTGTGCCACAGGTGCCTGCTTCTGGATGTGCACAAGTGGTCACATCCTGTGAACCCTACACAGCTGGCTGCACTCTGTACCGAAGCCCACTAATTTATCTTTCCACCCCACCAGACCGGCGAGGCAGAACGTCGTGAACAGGAAATACAAGAGGTTACCTCTCATCTGCATCAACTGTGATATTTAATTACGCTGCCTTTTTGTCATTACGAAGCTTTAAACTAGCTGAAAAAGAGCCCATTTCCTTTCAATACTGAGGCACTGTGTGATATAATATGTTCAATATCTCCAACACAACTAAAGAGAGACATTTAATTTTTTTTATTTTGTGAATGTTCTGTGAAACTGATCAGGCCTTCTATTGAAACTCAATTAGAATATAGCACAAAAGTCCATTTATTCCAGTAATTCAACTTAGATTCAGAGACCATTTAACTTTTGCACTATATTCAAATTTTTTGAATTTCACATGTAATTTCTACAAAAGCATAAGATTTTTATTTATTTTTTTATCTGGCAATAAAATACACATACATTAGTTTGATACATCATTAAATATCTCTGGTGTTTGATGTTCTCTGTATTTTCTGGCTTTAAACAAATTGTCCGGTAAGGAAACAAGCTCAGCTGTAGCACTTACCGGAGTTGTTGCCCAAATTTGAAACGGACATGTTATCCATTGGTCTTGCTGAGGGTAAACTGAAGGACATTTTGGTTGAACTGATGTTAGGCTTTTTACCACACAGCAGAATATTGATGCTTCCAAACATGTCTTTTTTGAAATCCAGGGAATTAACTGCCTTAAAGACCATGGAGCTCTGCATCCGGATCACCTAGGTATCAGAGGATAAGAAAAAAGTCGAATGAATTCTAACCTTCTTCAGATTCATTTTCAGACTCCTGAAGGTACATGAAATTTTGACCCACCTCCTCAATAACTGATGTTGCCGCTGCAGAGGTTTTGCTCATCAGAGACAGTGTGTCTGTTGCATTTAGGTTCCACACTGAGGGCAGCTTCAAAGGAGAAAAAAAAGAGTTATTCAGCATTGTGAAGAAAAATGTTAAAAGGACAAAAAACTATCAACCAAATTAGAATCTATACATTCTCTTAACCGTGACAATGGTGCAATGAAGAAAAAAACATAACGTTTTTTAAGTTTTGGGTCTAGGTGTGTTGGTTGGTTGTTGAGACACCACATAACACCATATCAGCTTTTATGGGCTAGAAAACCATTTATCTAAATCTAGAAAACATGAAAGGACAGACTGAGAAATGGCTGTTGAGTTTCTTTGGGACAGTTAAACAGAGTGATGTTCAAGGCCCTCTTCATACAAGATGAAGACCTTGTGGCATCAGGACCCAATGTGGATGGTCCTTACAGGGTAAGCAAGGCCATTCCATGTGTCGACTCGCAATTGCTTGTGACAAAGTTATATAGCTTCATGATGGTTTTGAGTATGAACATACTAACTGCCTCAATCCCACAGTCATCATCAAACACTGGTGAAATTACATCTCTGCATTAGACCCGTCTCTGCATTGAGGCATTGGGTCCCACGTATTTGGTATGACCCGACTGGATTTCAGGACAGGCACTCATGCCACTGGGCTGCTGAGAAGGTGAGCAAGATTGTGGTAGTTTGTCATTATGGTGGCAAGTTGTTGAATACTGGTTGGAGCATGGTGGCTCTGTATTTATGACTTGCCACCAGCACATATGCTGCTTGGTCATCAAGGATTGGCCTTAAGCCTTGGCTGCACATCACAGAGATTCATCTGACATGTTTAGTGTGATTTTCTAACGCCCACCTTAAGGCATAGAGCACATTCATGGTAGGATCTTTGTAGGGACATGCTTCTGATGAACACTGTGAGGTTTAGGAGCATGGCAGTATCTCAAGGATGCCATGGAAAATTAGGAAAATCATCTTTGGTGAGCAAACAGATTGCAGCAGCATTGCTATTATATTTGTGTAGATTCTCTGTCATCCATGGCATGATAATCTTAAAGGTTTAGTTGACAACTGGACTTATCTTGTTTTCCTTGAATTGTTTAGCCTCTCATCCAAGAGATTTCTTCAGCTGAAGTTTCTTCTGAAATGTCCGACACTTGACTTGCCTCCTCAGGAAGTTAAGCATTGTTGGAGACCTGTTAGGATTATCACCACCAATGACACAAACTCTGAATAAAGGGAGGGGCCAGTCACTTAACTGACTTTGATTGCCTTATTAGTAATCACAATGGCATCACCAGTGACTCCGATTGCACTATTAGCGGGCCTGTTTCAGATTACACCTTTTAAGATAAGTTTCAGAACTGAAGAAGCATCTTAGATGAGAGGTGAAACGGCCAGTTGTTCCAACTAAATCATCACAATAACAATAATGGAGGATTTTCTAATTAGCTGTAATCTAGGTTGTTTGAATCACAGAGAGCATGGTCTGCGCTTCATCTAGAGTGTAGAGGTCAGTCAAGGTCTTCAACTGCACAGAGATTAGGTGATCTTGCAAGCTGTGGTGTTTAATAGGACAACGTTATACCATTGAAACCTTTCATTGACCCCATGTGATTTATGTATGAGGCCCATTATTATGCTGAAACACACTCCATACACTGGGCTGTAACTGTTCTATCAAAGAATGATCATTTTGCAAGAGTTGTTAAAAGATCAAAGGGTGGTCATAAATAGAAAAAAAATCATATTTCATCAAGATGTCTGAATTGCGATAATGCTTTAATCTCTCTGCTAACATTAAGGATTGAAGGTTGAAGTGTTAGAAAACCATCCATTTGATTCTGGTAATGTATCACATGGGTTGACAAATTGGGGCGGGGTGGTGGTGGTCATGCCTCCTGGTTGCCTCACTTTGGAGATTTTCCTGGGATTAGTGGGGAGGGAGAGATAGATGGATGGATGGATGTGTTAACATTAGTACAGGGCTATTCAATTCCAGGCCTCGGGGCCAGCATCCACCATGTTTTAGTGGTTTCTCCAGTACAACACACTAGATTCAGTGGTTGAATTACCTGTGCAGCAGGTGCAGCTATCTGTTAACACACTGGTTTCTATCTTTATGTGCTTTACCTGGTTCATTTTTATACTGTATTTGTAACTGTTTTTCATGTAACTGGACCTTGAGTCCGTAAAAAAGTATCGTCTGTCTGTCTGTCTCAGCTGAGTGCTAGATTTGTCTCAGATGTTCCAAGGGTACTTTTTTTTATAGATTTATAATTAATGTAAAATAATTTAAATTCCATGTAGAGGTGGCCCATATCATATCTTTATTACCAGTAATTATTTCCCGTTCAGAGAAAAGAAATCTATCAGGTTAAGCTAAATTAATGATGTAACTGCGTTTACTGAAGATTACACCCATGTTGGTCATGCACCATGGAGCTATTAGGGCAAACACGGCTGGAATCTAACAGTATTGGGTTTTGACTCAGTATTGAGTATTGAGCAGTAACTCAGGAGGTAGAGCTCCCGACAGAGAATTCTGCTGTTGTGTTCTTCGGCAAGACACTTCACCACCTTGCCTGCTGGTGGTGGGAGGGACCGGTGGCGCTTGTGCTCAGCAGCTTTGCCTCTGTCATCGCACCCCAGGGCAGCTGTGACTACAATGTAGCTCACCACCAATGTGTGAATGTGTGTGTGAATGGATGAATGATACACTGTGGTGTAGTGGAGTCCTCTGACTCTGAAAGGTGCTATACAAGTGTGGGTCATTTATCATTTATTATCATAACAGTGGGTCATTTATCATTTATTATCATAACAGCAATCATATTGTGATGACTCAGACGCTCCGGTTGTTTTTTGTGGGTATTATTTTTGAGCTACAGTTGGCCACAACCCACGCCTTAGAAACTCAATTTTTTCAACAGAATCGCTCGTAACGGAGCATTTCCTAGAATAAAAAAGCAGCAAAAACCAAAATTGCAACAACCTCTCCTCATCTTCAAAATAAAATATTAAACCTAACACTAACTATTCACACCGTTACAACATGTTTGAGGTAATTTGGCCACTCTGGCTTTCCGTAGATGTTTCCTGATTACACGGGGGAGGGAGGGGTTTGGCTCGGATGGATAAACAGATCTCTGTTGGCAGCCATGGTGAAAAGGCTAGCTGAAACATGAACAAACGTCCCCAAATAATTAAAAACCAGGAAGCCAAATGCAAACTTTAGGGCAGAAGATTGACCCAGAGGTTTACTGTGTCACGGTGTGGAGGGATGGTGAGTGAGGAAGAGTGGATCCTTCAGGCAGGTAAATCAACCCAGGCCAGAGAGCAGCAGACATTTGGTTCCTCTTTAGTGGTCAGGAGTGCAGACACGACAGGGTAGACAGACGTGACCATAAACTGACATGCAACGAGTACGAACCGACAAAACCACAGGGCTTATATACACACTGGGATGGGTAATCAGGTAACAAGAGGCAGTTGGACACAATTAAGGAAAAACTCAAGGCACAGGAGAGCAATAATGTGACATACTGTCTTGTGAGAATACATGTAATGACCGCTTAGAGGCAGAACAAGCTAGTTGCTAGCATAGCGGTTAATCTCTAGCATAACGGCTAGCCGAGTTATATCAATATCAAATCATCTCGTTTCTTGTTTGAAATTATATCGACATTTTAAAAATATCAATATACTGCCCAGCTCTATATTTGCCCAAAACTTTGTAGAGCTTGACAGCAAGTAGCCTCAGAAATGTTTAATCAAAGTTGCATCAGACTGATGTGCACCTTTGTGTTACTGTGACATTCTAAGAGGCACACACTATGAACACATTCAGAGAAATAAATGGCATGCCCTTTCAGCCACCGTCACTTTCATGCATCAAGTGTCAAGTATAGCTTGTATTAGCGGTGCTTCCATTGTCTCTCGAGATTAAAACCCTAAACCCCAGGAAACCCAAGGCTGGACAATGAATAAAAGAAGATTAATGAGCAACAGGATGTTGTATAGATAAATCTAATCACTATTCAAGCACCTTGAGAGAATTTTTTTAAACAATAGACTGGCTTCTCACTGAGCCTTTAAGGCATTCACTTTTACCATCAAAGCAAAGAAGGTAGACAGCCTGTGAGGATGAGAAGCTATAAAGGCTCCCATTCAAAGGAAAAAAACCCCCACTAGTAACTGATCTGTGGACACCTGTGCTGGCAACATTACTTCAGTGTTAAATTGCAAGTTAAGTCAATATTGAGCACTGCTGTAGGGTTGTTGTGAGCCTAGTAGTTTAATTTAAGTTGTTTAAACATCCTTCAAACAACAAGAGACAATATGGCAACAATATTGTCATAGCCAGACTCCCAACAGCTCTTTCAAGAGCAAGATTAATTCAATAAATTCATTCAAAACAAAATAGTCTCCAGTAAACATCATCAAATCTTTATAAAGGGCCTGAGCACCAATGTAAAATAACTTAGCTTTTACAGCACACATATATTGGGTAGGCGCTCTTAAGATGTACTAGTTTGGTGAGAGAAGATGCACCATCAGTACTTTGATAGACAGAGAAATATAATGCATTCCCAAAGAAACCAAAGTGCACCCTTTCCTCTTTTTGCTGCATGTTAGCATTAGCTAGCAGAACTCAAGCCGACTCTGGTTCCAAAGACACAGGGTAACACCTGGAAACTTCATATTTTGGCTTCCCTTCTTAATGAGTGTGAGGAGAGATCCAACATCATATTTATTCTATTGGTATGTATTGCATGTAATTGCCATTATGTAAGTTTTTTTTTTCATCATAATTAATTATTGACCAAAGACGGTGTGAGTCACAACCTTAAACCCTCAACCAACCTCACAGCAGGAGCTCACAAACAAGGAAGAAACATTTAGCAGAGCAAAGACATGCAAAGTAACAAAAACAACTAATAATCAACACATAGTTTGTTGTCTATTTTAAATCTTTAGTTACCTAGCATGGGACCCTGACCCAGGACATGCAGGGATTGATTATATATATATATATATATATATATATGGGCTGAAGA